CAATGCAAAGCTAATTCAAAAGGTTTAGTTGCAAAAAGTTTCGGACCAATCTCCAGATTTTTAGTAATTTGTATAAAGTTACCCTTTCATTACCCTCCTAAATTGGATCAATGTCTTTCTTCTCATCTTTTACACTTCAGTCTCCCTGGAGCTGTGCAGCACATCTACATTACAACATAAACATGCTAAAATGCATGACAATACAGACACTTTGTTTGTAACGATGGGGCTCGTGCATGACACAGATTAGTGTAGGCCAATGGTTTACAAAGGTTTTACAGAGAAAGGGAAAAATAAATGATTTTGTGCATTTAACCTTTTTGCAACATTTTGACATTTGTCTTTAGATTTTTGCCTTGACTGTAGCGTTTCAATGCATTTCAAGTGTTTTATTAGTAACATATGATAGATTATGAGGTATGACTTTTAATCAAGCCCATTATGATGGATTAAAATGAATGCTAATTTATATTCCTACAGCTTTAGACGAAAACTGGTAGTTTGAGTACATGTACATAAATGTGAAGCACTGTGGAAAACCTTCTTGCTTCAGAACAAAACCACTACAACATTGTACTACAGAATTTGTTATCCACGTGCAGCCATGCTGAGCACAGAAAATCTTTCAATTCACTGCAAAGTGTTCAAGAAGGGCTGCCAGCAGAGCTCATTTGGAGAGCTGTCTTTTAGCACACTATTTATTGTGATGTGAGACTCTGTGCAGTTAGACGGGCCTTTTGTTCATCAGTTTTCTGTGCCGGCCTCCTTGTTTGATCAGGCGCGTTTGCCACGCATGATCTGCACCCGTTTGAAGTGTGGTCAATTGGCACAGCGCTGTGCATTTTCTTTTCCCGGAGAAATTGTCAAGAATTCACTGCAGTGGTGAGAGTATGGGAAGCCGGAGAATGACAGTGAATGTCCCCCCATGGTGACTGGCCATAACAGAGCCTACATATTTCATCTAATTAAACCTCACGAGGCTTGTTAGCGATGTCAATACTGCAAATTGTGGAATATACGGTAAATACATTACATTGCTATGCGGTTGAATAGCAACAATGTGAAAAATAGGGATTTTACACATTTTGAATATGGTGTTTGCATATTTTAATGGAAATGCATTATTGGGGGAAATAAATGTGGTAAACCAAGTTAGTGGCTTGAAAGAAAGCAGGCCCTGTACTGGGGGTAAAGAAAAAGAATGATGCAAGCAAAATGAAAAGCGGTTTGTTCTTTAGCCTTATCTGTCACCATCAACCATAATCTGTCCTATGCTGTAGATTCATTTAAAGATTATAGCATGCTATACATTTGCACAGTGCCAAGGCACAGGAGAAATCACAAATCGGCTCCTTTCTGAATATATAGCCAGCCAACACATTCAGCTTGTTCGCACGCTTGTGCCCGCATCTCCCGTGAGTTCCCCTCTGATCCGTTCCTTCCTCCTCCCGGTGACACATGAAAGCGTTTCGCCGAATCAAATCAACAGCCCGAGATAATTCAGTGTGACAATGTAGCAATTGTGTTACTGTGATTTTATGTGGGGATATTTCATATCATTCGCACATATCTCATCAAGGCTTCGGCAGTGAAAGTGGGTGAAAGTTCAGGACAGCCACCAGTCCAGCAGCGTTGTGTGGAAATAAATGAGGTCAAATCAAATATTGTTTCCTCCTCTTCCGTAGTGGCTGCACATTTCAGCACAGGTGCCTTCAGTAGTAGATTCATTTCAAACTGGCAGCCCATTTTAAACATGCAGTCTACATGCCACATCTCCCCTACATAACCAATTTATCAAGCCTAACCCGGTACGGCGGTACGTGCATATACTCCCATATCACAGAGAAGGCTGGAAAGCAACTGTCATAGATGGCATGATTGAATTGTTCCCTTGCACTGTCACCAGAAGGGCTATTACTTCAAATTAGCATACAAATTCAAACCAGGACAGATGGATTTGTCACATTCCAGTCGCCATCTTCCTGGAAGATTGGCTGTGCTTGTGCTGTGTGATGGAGATAAGACACCTGTCTCGGCTCCGATTGGTGGCAGCGTCGGTGGCTGGGAGAAGGGCCGGCGTGGGATGGGAGGAGGACCGGGGTGCTGGGGATGGATTTCCTGAAACGCTGAGGTGTTCTGCAATAAACGTCCCTACCCACGGCCTCAAATGATGATGAGGCACCATCCAGGACTCCGTGGGTGGTAGGAGATTGAGCTGTAGCGAGGTGGTGATTCATACTGTTTGGAAACACTCTGAACAATACCTGTCTGGTGTTGGTTTGTGTTTGCTACTTTCGGTGAGTTACTGTCAAAGAGCGAACACCGAATGGCCCCTGACATCAGCAATGGACGGGCGTGTTTTGAACAGCTGTGCGTCGTGTGTGGAAATGTGCATTAGGTATATCCTCGACCACAAATAACTTTTCCGCTGAATAGCTGAACAAAAGCTAAACTACAAATCTCATTGTAACTCTGCCAAAGTTCAGTTCTTTTAATATCTAACAACACATTGCCACTACAGAGGTAATGTATGGTTAAGCACAAGAAGCAGGACTGCATGCAGTTGCAGTGTAGGCTACACTGTATCAGACACTAACAAAACACAACTTGGAGACATAATGATTTTCATTTGTAATTATGGCAGTGTGAATCAATGGGAAGTATTGAGCAAGAGAAACTGTCCTTACCTCAGGATCAATTCCATATAATTTTCAGATCAGCTCAAACTAATGGGTTTTCTATTGGCTTCACTTTAGAGGGAGACTAATCTCTCTGGCACCATTTTGTGGTTCTGTGTACGTTCCCGAGCAAAAGTCCGTCCACTTAAAAACTCCTCTCCCAACAGTCCAAAAAAATATTAAAGCACACATGCTAATTTCCTGACTCGGCATATTACACAATCTGCGGGCTTAATTTAAAACTCCCTTAGCAGGTCTAGTATCTCTGCCTGCCTACTCCCAGACACTATGGAGATTGTGAAAAATGCTTACTGGTTCATTTCTGCCTCTATCCTCAGGTCAATGGTATGTATATTCCCTTACAATTGATGTAAAGTTGAGATGCAGAACCGAGGAGAGCAAGGTTATGCTATCATAAAGGCCGCTGTGTACCTGAATAGAGAGAAATCTGGATTAGAAGCAGTTCTATAAATTGCTAAAGGTGATGCGAGACTTACGGGAACACAATGTGGTCTTTGATTTGCATTTGTCTTTCCTCCTAGACAAAGTATAGCTCAAACTTAGCTGACAAACAGAATAATGCTGCTTTTTTTGTGCCTCCAACTCTTCCACACAGAATCTGTCCACCTGGAGATGAACCAGTAGAGCTGGGACAAGGTTTTGTTTTCCTTTGTCTTACATGACAGTAAACCGGATAACTTTGGGTTTTGGACTGCTGGTTGGACAAATCAAAACAACCGAATGTCACTTTCTGCTCTGGGAAATTGGCCAAATGATTAAGAGTTCTCCACTGATTTAGCATTGCATTGTCAGACACACAATAGAATTTAAATACAAAGTAAGGATCGAGGCTGATGCAGCAGAACCATAGCTATCCTCATTTTTATTTCATGCATTCGTCTTCCTTTTTAAAACCTGGCACTTAGATTACCCACAATGCAACCTCACCGCCCACACCTCAGGCATTTGGGTGTGTTATGCTAGTAGTGGCTAACGTAGCTTTGAGCTACTAGCCGCAAACAGAGATGAGGAGAGGGCTACAGAGGCCCGGTAAGTTAACCACAAGATTTCTTTTTATCTTCAGCCCCACCTGACATTGACTCTAGTGACATCACTTGAGGAAATTCATCAGATTTCAAACAGCTCCCACTGGAGACACAAAAGGCTTTATGCAACCTTTTTATTTTTTCTTAGCACTCCCAAAGACTTTGATATGTTAAAAAACATCAGTGGAGGTGCCTTAATTATTTGATTAATCGTAAAACAAATTGGCAGATGAATAAACTACAAAAGATATTTGTTAGCTGCAGCCTTACTAGCAAAAAAACAAAATGCATTCAAAAAAAGCTAGCAAGTAAAGGTTAATGTGTCACACACACAAACTTTTGAAACATAATTTGAGGCACAGCTGCCTTTAAAATGTACTTCTATCCATTCTAACACTGAAAGCTCATTCAGCGCCACACAAGACATTTTACAGTTGTTTTTGCAGGCTGTGTAATACTGCTTATTATATATTGAAAATTATTACCGGGGAAAAAATAGGTGGATGGCACCTTTAAGAAGAAGAAAAACCAGAGGTATTATATGGTTGAAAAAACAATGCAAAGATTTAACACACTATTAACTGCCAGCTGCCAAGTAGCAGTAATCAGTCCTTATGCGTGGTAGGACCAGGATGCTCCCCGAGACTTGTAACCTGAGCTCAGGGATTGCCGCCACCCCCTTTAAGCAAACTCTTCGCATCTCGCCTCATTTAAGTTGTTGACCCACTGAATGAGGGGGGAAAAGGTTCCCAAGAAAGGTTGTCAGAACTCATCCAACTTTCTTTGTTGCTAAGGAATTCTTACACATTTGGTGTTGGACGCTTCATTTTAAGTTTAACGTGACAAGACAGTCGTGTTTCGGCTACAATAGAACTAAATACACACTCAAGTTATGTCACTGACCATTATTCTGGTATTTTTGACTTCACTGCAGTGCTTACAGTTCATGCTTCTCCCAACTGCAAGCTTTACCTTCCACATTAGAGAGGCGCTGACACAAAACGGTACAGCCACGACAGGCTCCAGCACAGCAGGGATTTCACACTGATCTTGTTCCGAAACATTTGTAATTAACATTCTCTCTCTCCCCAACTGTTTCTGAAGCTATCAATATCCCAGTAAGAAGATTTAACTTCCCTGAAGAGCAAGGAAACGAGCTGGATTTGGCAGGTCAAAACGCGATTGCTCAGTACGTGCGTGAATGTGTGTGTGAGGGTTAAGTGAAAAGTTTATGCACTGATGATCGTGTTATTTTAATGCTGACACTGGAAAAATGTTTTATTAAAAAGTTATTTTTTATTAAGCTGAACAGCGGCAGGAAATGTGACTAGAGTGCCCCTCTTAGTATCACCATTACAAGAGAACAATACAATAAGCCTGCATCAAAATGCAGTATAAATTACATTTGTTCAAAAGCTTCCATCCATGGGCTGATGCCATTTCGGCAGAAGAAGCAAAACAACTTCGAGAGTCCCAAGCTGTGACTAAGTATGTATGTCTTTAAGAGGAATGTGGAAATTTACATGAAATATCCTGCTTTAAACAGAAAAACAAAAACATAAATTCCTGATAACCAATCATTTACAGACCATTTCAGAAAGTGTTTAACAAAATATGATACAAGGTGGCTCTCAAAGGTAATGGGACACAATTCATCAATCATGAAAATACATTAAACACAGTGAGACAAAAATAGAATTCAAAATTAGGTTGTTGGAGGGGGGTGGAGGGTGGCGGCGGCATTCAAATGAGTTCAGACTTTCCTTTATACAGATACTGAGGATGCCGGCACATGCAAGCCTTCTTAGTACTGAGTGTATTCCTTGGATGAGAGTTTTGTAATGATACGCTCCAACTGTCTCTTTGCTTCACACTGGGGGAAGTTACTCATCTCGTAGTACTGCGGGGCAATTTTCATCAGCCTAGGAAAAGAAGCGGGTAAACATTAGTCACAAAAATTGTCTTCAGTGTTTACTTGTGGGAGAACGCTGTTCTTCCATATTCACACAGCGACTACCGGTGCAAGCTCAACAAATTTGAAACTTAATTGTACCAGGTCACAGAGGGCGAAGGGACGGGAAACAAAGCTAATCCAGTACAAGTGTGTGCAAACAAGCCTACGCTGGTGACGCCTATAGTTTCTTTTTAGTAATACGGATACGTTTTTTTTTTTTTTGTATGTTGGCTTTGTACTGTAGAACAACACAATTTTTAGTTTTAATTAAGTGGCCAGTCACACAGCTCCATGTAAGTGATGCCTGTGGTACAGACTGGACGAGATGTACAGACAAAATAGTAGTTAGGGTAGGGATTTCTCCTGAAGCTGAGTAGTTAAGGCTCAAATCACATAACGACAACATACACAGGTGCAGCCAGGGGACGTTTGTTGCACGTCACACCTCTCTCTCTGCCCACGTTTCCAATTTGCGCAGATCCGGGGAGAAAATGTAATAAAGCTGCTTTTCCGAAGCGCTGAAGCGTGTTGACGCTAAAGACGTGTCTACACAGGTGCGTTTCAGACACATTTTTTCAGTCGTCAGTCCTCACGACAGATAAGCTTCATCTTTAATGAGTCCGGTTTAACTTACACGCTATACGCGCGCGAGATAGACACAAAACGTATATTTTTACACTTGCAGTCCATTTTCTTCCATTTTAAAAGTGTAATTACAATGATTCTGTACTAGACTCATGGCGCATATGACCTACACTCAATACTCTGCTTTAACCTGGAAACCTGTGTAGATATGGACGGAGCACTGAAGCTGCTGCTGCTGCTGCTGCTCTGCTAATGTGCTGCTCACGCTACGCCTCCTGTGTAGACGAAATAAGGACAGCGGTGTATCCTGACACCACAATGTGCATCAAGATGCTGCCCGTTTTTGAGTTTGTTCAGAAAACAACAGGAGTGGGCGTTGACGTGTGTCATACGCTGCCGGTGTGTGTGCCCATTAGGGTATTTATATTCATACTGAGTGAACAGTGTAGGATTTCAGAAGACTAAAATCTATTGGCGACTCCCTCTCGCAACCATCTTGGCACAAAAAGACAAGCAATTCTAAAGAAAAACTGATATCTGAAGCTATTTTTGACATTTTTGTCCAGATATCCAGGGTTTGTCACAGACAGCCATCAGAAGTTTTGTCTTTTCACTCACATATAAAAAGGATCCATGCTTAGAATTTTTAAATCATTTTTATTACACATTACCTTCTGATGAGTATCTTTAAAACAAAAATGTAGCTACAGCTAAAACGTACCACTCTGGTTTGATGTCAGTGCACGTGCGGATGTAATTCTTGGTGGTGAGCACGAACTCGTTGTAAAGCACCCACTCCGGCTTGTGGTCCAGCACGGTGGAGGGGTGCAGCTGAACGACTTGGTTGTCCTTCACTGTCAGATAATGGCCGGTGCGCTCCAGGTGGGCGATCTGTTCGCACCACAGAGAGAGAAGAGGGTCACTGCCAGGAACAATCACTATGAAATCCAGTTTACGCAGAAAGACAAAAAATACAAACACAAACGCACTTTTATTGGTGCTTAATTTAACTTTACAGACCCATCAAAATCTCATAAGTAAATTACTAATTTTTTGATACGACACCAGCCTGATGTTGTAGACAAACTTGTTTGTAACCGGGCAGTGAGCCAATTATTCCTTTCTTTGTGGAGACTAGGTAAAGCTGCAGTGGCTGTTGTGATTAACCCAGGCAATCAGTCTCAATAAAGGCCTTTCCCAACAAAGACATGATTTCAAATGTTGTGAAAACTCCAACATGAGCTGCAAATTTGTCTCCAAGATAAAGGTTAATGTTGACAAATATGTAAATATTAACACCATAATTCAACTTGTCAGGTTGCTTGTTTCAGGTAGCCATGAAACTAGAGTCTTGCAAAATGCCATTTGTTTCCTTGAGCGAGGAGCAAATTGACTTCATTTCTTTTTGTGTGTTTAAAACAAAGCAGCCCTGTGTGTGTGTGTCTGTGTGTGTATGTATGTATACTTTAAAGACTGATATCCATTACAATAAACATCTCAGCTGCATTTTTAGTCCGTACTAGATTATGCACAAAAACACTTGTTTTTCAAATGATCAAACTAAACAGGGTAAACTTCAACCAGCCTCAGAACAGCAGCTGAGCTGGATATAAAGCCTGCGTTTGCACAAATTACAGACCAAAGGAAAAACAGAAATGGGGAAGTTTAATGATGATACTATAAACAAAGCAACTGGACACAAATAGCTAAAGTTAGTAAGTGCAAAACATATACTAAGGATAATACAATATGCTTTCTGTGAGCAACGAGCTTCACCAAGGGACCCTGATGTGACTGACCTGCATGAAGAAGCCAGTGACCAGCGCTCGCCGGATGTTGGTGTAGTAGTCTCTGCTGTTAAACTCAGTGCTCCGCCTCGGCAGGCTGAAGCGGTCCATGATCCTGGACAACTGCTGCCGTACATTGTCTGCCGACATCAGCGAGCGGTAGTTGACGAAATTGTCATAGCACCACTGAGTAGCCCCGTGGTCTGTGTAAGGCGAGGGCAATTTGGGGTTAAAGACAAACAATGTCGACTGTTTGAGTGAAACCAGTGTGTGCGTGAAAGGGACACTCACTTTGTTTGAAGGCGTGGTAGACGTTGAGCAGCGTCATGTGGTCTCCATCGATGTGGGCAAAGCGCATCTTGGACTCGTCAGCCACCTTCTTAGCCTCCGTGGGTCGGACGAAGCACTGTGGGACTAAACAAGGTTGGTATAGGCCCCAACACAGCCGCCCATAGGGATAAGTTAAGCAAATCCCACAGAGAGGAACAAGGCCTCAGCTCAAGAGAGGCACAGAGCACTTCACAGGGCACACTGGTATTGTGAAGTGTGTATTGTGGAAAAGGAAAGGAGGAGGGTCAAAGAGAAGGGGAGAAAGATGAGTTTCATCGCCATGATGGGCTACTTTTATTTTTAAGGTATAGCAAGCATATGAAACCCAGTCTAAACAAGCATTCTATCCTATGTATAGACCTGATCCTAAAGCAAAATAAAACAGCAGCGTAGGGTTTATCCAGAGGACTGCCGTCTCCCCTCTGTGAACTTTCCCTGAATTGCTAAACATCAAAACCTGCTTGACTGCGGCTTTAATGGGTGAAAGCTGTGTTTATTGAGCCTCATGGTTGGGTGCTGTGGTGGCACCATTCTCAGGTGTGCTTTCGCTGCTTACTCTAATGAACTCAGCAAAAACCTGCCATCCTGAAACACCTGCTTTAAGTGCACACCACGTCCAAACAACTAGTTAAATCCATTTCCCCACTCTCAAAGACCCTCGCTCTCCTTTCAAAGGCGTCAAGATTCATCTCAATGAGCACCATTCTGCTTTGGCAAGCCTAAAGTGCAATTACTGCTGTAGCACGCTGGTGCTGCTACACCTATACATTTTGTACAGACGTGTATTTTTTCAGCCCTTCCTTACAAATAATAGCTGACACCACGGACTTTATACTCTACTTGCCTTGTAGTTAAGTTCAGTAGGTATACATTTTACTTATTCTAAGTAGATTGTGACTTCTGGGCTCTATCTATTTTAAAGGGACACGTACAAATAATACTTTTAAGGGACAAGATAAAAGATAAAGAAGCTGCACTGTATATTTCCTTTAAGCTTATTGGTTGATTATGAAACACGGCCCATGAGCACAGGAAATGGAAAGAGTAGCAGCTGAGACCCACACAGTGGGCCAAGCCATAAGCATTACCTGACAACATGGCAGTGATGGAGAGGACCTCGTTTGAACAGTTGAATTCACAGCTGGCGATGACCATCTTGGCCAGCTGGGGGTCCAGGGGGAACTCTGCCATCATGGAGCCCAGTTCCGTCAGGTCACCGTCGTCATTGAGCGCTGCCAGGCAGTTCAGCAACTCCAGGGCTCGCATCAGGGTCTCTGGGGCTGCAGAAGACAGAACGGGAGAGATGGGCCATTAACAATGTTCCAAGCCCATGGGGCAAAACGCACATGACAGAGATTTGCACAGAACAATTTGCATTATATTTTTTCACAGCAAAACTTGTGTGGGGCCCTTTTACCCACATGTACATCAGGACTGATCAATACTCTAGTACTGCATGTTTACAATTACAGTCAATCAATAGAAAATTAACTATTTCATTAACTGGAGTAATTTTTCCAGCCAACCCTTCTCTGATTTCAGCTGCTCAAATGTGACGATTTGCTGCTTTTCGGTCCCATATGATAGTTAACTGAATGTTTATCCATGAACTGATTGATTATTTAATTTTGAGAAAATAAAGAGCTGATTAATCAATCATGAAAATAATCATCAGCTGCAGCCCTATATAGGTTTGTGGTCCAGCTGTGTGGACGGGTGCAGCTGTTCGGCTTGGCTGTCCTTCGCTGTCAGGTAATGGTAACCTTCACAGTCACACTAAATAATACATTTGTCTACTCTAGCATTAAACATACTTTGCTGGCGAAATGAAAGATTAATGTAAAATCTGGCTGGTCAAGCCAAAATTGGCCATTTTAAAATGATGACTCATTTCCTGTTGGTGAAATGAGAATCAAGACTGAGGAAGCTTGTTCACCATGAAAAGACTATGCAATGTGCAAAATTTCACATTCAAGCAACTAAACATCAAAACATCATTTTCCAAATGGTGGGAAAACATTCAGTGCCAAAATAAAGGAAATAAGTGAAGGAATATAAAGGAAAATTTGAGTCAGCTGCTATTGGATAAGATATAAACTTGCTTGCTGGCTCAGTTGTGTAAATGGTCTGCAACCTGATCAGCCAGATTTGACAGAACATGTTTGTTTCAAAAAAGAAAAGAGGAAGCCCAAGAAAACAAAGCTGATAAAACAACAAAGTTCCAGCACCTGCTGTACCGGGACCTTTAATAGAAGACAAGTGTGAGTTTGTGAGTTTGGGTGACAGGGAGCATGAGGTCCATCAAAATGAGAGGGCTCTCCTTATGTGACGGCCAGAGCTACGCTAGACAGCAGCTTAGAGGAGAAGTAATCATGGCAGAGCTCATTTTTCATCCTTCGCTCGGGCAATCCTAAACAACTAATGCAATTATAGTGGAACTTTCTACTTAACGCACCAACACAAAAGGCTTCCACCGTTTGGTTAAAAGATTTCTCCTCCAGATGCAATTATTGACCTTTGGCTCCCGAGAGCCGGAGCCTAATGACCAGTTGCATGTTAACTGAAAATTAGCTTCAAGCACTGGCGGCGGTGCTCGTTCACTTTCATTTCTCTCAAGTGCTCCCAAAAAAAATTCAATTTCAAACAGCAGGGAGGCATTTTTTTATGATTAACAAATATCGATTTGGGGCATCAAAGCTACTTTTTTTTGTTTGTTTTTTTTTTTACACAAAGTGAGTGCCGGCTACATTACTTACCACACCAACGGGCTTGTGTGGGGGCCAAACAAAAGGTGAAATTCTGATTTCCAAGTACTGCTAGCATGATGAACCAGTGTGGAAATTCAATCTATACACAACACGACTCATCAGAAAAATAAGTATTGACTGCCTCAACACACAAGAATCCGATATATTAACCAAGGGCCAAATCAATAAGATGAAAGGCTAAAGGTACATTAAACCACACTGGCTTAGAAAGGTACTTATTTGGAAATGTCACGAGACAAATGAATCCCACCCAGCCTGTGTAAATGGCTTCTGATTTCTTTTGGATTTTCCATTTTGGTTGGTGGGCTCATGCGGTTGCTCCAGCATTTAGTGAGCAAGGTGGGCAAAGAGAGAAATAAAACTGGAAAGCAACAGGAAAAATCAAGGTTCCCACTGGGGGTAGGGACAAGCTCAAAGTCACTGGCGTTTATATTGTTGATTATCAGGTAGACAACACCTAAACTCAAATTCTGACTTGAAATGTCAACATCAAGAAACAACAATGCCAAATGTATGTTGGCCTAGCATTACCACCGTAAACACTGCAGCCTCAATGCAGGGACTTTGAATTAAATTAAGGTCAACCTATATGCACATTTATGAATTGAAACATGCCAAAAACCAATTAATAATGGTAGTTCAACCAACAAAAGAAACCTTAAAATCTCAAAACACATTGTTTCATCCTGTGTTCTTGATGCTCCAGAGACACATCTCTGGCCTGTCCATTCAGTTTGAGGGAGGCCCTTTGACACAGCATATCAAAACTGATCCACTGTAACTAGATGTTATAAAGCTCCTGTCCAGGAACTCTCAAAGACTCGAAGGACTGCTCCGAACTAGCTTCAGTGTGCACAGAAACTAGTTCGAAGAAACCTTTTGCCATGAGTGGGTCAAATAAATAAGAGGTGTCTCCCCTTTCCCTTCACCCCACTATTCCCAGTTAGACTCAGCAGACAAGGCCAATCCCATATGTTGACGCTTTCCCTTGCGTTTTGTGAGAAATGTGGGGGTGGTGGTGGAGGCCAGTCACGTTTCACTGGGGGAATATAAAGGGAAGGCAATAGCTAAGGTGATAGCGCTGCTATTGATGTAACCAATTTCGTTCTCAAAATGGCATTTGCCACAGCGGACAGGGAGAGATGGGTTTAATCTCAGAGGTGAGATGAAAACTATATTATGGTGAGAAAACGGGGGAGAGGTTAAGGATAGGAAAAGGTGGGGTGGTCTCCTCGGGAAGACGTAGGAACACACCCTTGTGTAATGCCATAACTTGGCGCCTCATTGAGACTGGGTTTGTTTTTTGGCCTTGATCCAGCATGATTCAGATGGATGAGAATTAAGAAATACAGAGAAGGAAACATAAATTGACTGATCAGCCAGAATACTAATCCACATATCACTCTTTACTTACTCTGAACAGCAATAATCTAAACTTAAAGTAGACTACTCATAAAAACTGCATAACACTGCTATGTAGTCCACGTCTGTCAGAGCACTTGTACTCAAGTCTCTAAACATTAAGTATGCAGTATTTTGTATCTGCCGGGATCATTTTAACTTTGCTTTGTCACTTTACCCAAGCTCCCAAGTGACACAGGCAACCCAGATTTGATATTGTACATGAAACAACCACAGTTCAACTAAATGTGGATTTTATAGCAGTGTGTAACTGCATTTGTACTGATTCAGACGGCACTGATCAAAATCAAGATCTCAGTATTGATACTGAAGTTATATTCCTTCAGATTTCAGGGTTGGTTTGGTGACAGCCGTGATCACTGGTGGTAACAGCAAGTGCAGTTTAAAACTACACAAAACACTTGTTAAAAGGGTAACTTCTGAGATTTTAACCTCGACCTTATACTTTCATGTTTTTGTGTCTTTAAGAATAATTGGAACTTTTTTCTCTTTTTTTAAATAAATTTAATAAACAGTATTGAGTGAGCATGCTGCAGTCGACAGCAGCAAAACAGAGCTGCAACGTAATCCTTGCGAGCAATCAAAGCACGTTTACTTAAGTGCTTGTTTTTGCCACTGACAGGGTCAGATTGTTACTGTAAATAAAAGATGGGGGCTCGAGTTTGAGACTCGGACTCGAGTCCGACCTAAGTCGCACACACAGTGACTTCAGACTTGATTTCAGACTCGTCCTCGAAAGACTTCAGACTTGACTCGGACCCGAGGTGCGGGACTTCTGAACGTCTGATGAGCTTGCTGTTATTCCCCTCCCTACGTTACATATAACCTGCCTACGTAACACGTACTACGTATCTGCTGCTCACGGCCACATGCAAGAGAGGACAACAAACACCAGCAGCTACTGTGCCATTCATCATACACTTTGGCTTTAAAACTTCATACAACATATGCCCAAACAAGGAAACGCTGAGAGCAAAACAGGTTAGTAACCTGAGATTAGTAATTCAGCATTGGCCATCTAACGTCAGCTTGCTTCAGCTACGACCTACTGGACGTTAATTCCGACTGTCGTTCTTTATGAAAAGATGAATGAGCGTTTGTTTACGCACATTACATGACTGTGCTCTGTGAGAAACAGGTTACAGTTACAGAATCCCGTATAGCTAAGCAGTATTATAAGCAACCTGGACTGAATGCAACAGGTGATACAACATTCATTATAACCACGAGAGACCTGGGACTTGACTTGGACTCTAGCTCAAAGACTTGTGAGCATGTCACGTCTGGCAGCATTATGGAAAGGAATCCTACAGAGGCAGACCTTTTTCTTTATAAACACTGTATCGCTCTGGTCAAAGCCACCTGAAACCATTGATAAAAACAGTAATTTTATCTTAAAGAACATGGGGGGTTGCTGTCTCGGTCGGTTAGTTTATTGCGGTTATTGTGTGAATTTGTTGGTTATGTTGTCTTTGTGTTATTGTGAGATTTTGGTGTTTTAAAAGGTTAAAAACATCAAAGTTACACAATCACACAAACCTACCGATTGAGGCAGCAGTAGATCAGAGAAGTAAAATGTCTCTCTCTGTCAAGCGAGCCTGATGGCTTTGACAAGAGTAATATAGAGTCCAGACTGAAGTTACCCTTTAAGCCCTTTACTTTGCCTGCAATAAACAGAGATAGTAGAGCAACTGGTGTATCTGTTTACAGTGCAGCCAAACAAACTCAACCTGACCGATCTCATGCTGCACATCACACTTGTAGTTTTCCAAAATGTAATAAAAAAACAGGGAAAACTTGTTTTGTGTTAATCCCTCGTGCATGTGAAGGCAATGTGAATTCAGTGCGGGAATGGCGGATGCTGCCATCAACAATGAGAACTACTATCCAGAAAAATAATTACAGAATGTAAATGCATTGAATGGCTATTGCTGAAAGAAAGCTGACCATAAAAATATAAAAAATGGGGTTTGATTTTGTATAATTCATAAAGATTAGAAAGATTCATACTTTTTTTTATAGGACTGAATGCAAAGCAAAACATAAATTCGAGAACACACGGTATAAAAATGTGTCTTTGAGACTTTAAAAAAGTATTTTTGTCATACTAACCTGGTGGATCCATGAAGTCAAAGTGCACCAGGTCATCAATACCCAGTTTCTTCAGCTGCAGCACCACAGAGCCCAGATTAGACCTCAGAATCTCTGGATACGTGTTGTCCTACGCCAGTTAAGAGGTACAAGAAAACCCCAAGGAACAATTCAAAATGAATTAGTCAGGGTGCTTATTATCTTCTCATGAGTCGCTCATATGTCAACTTGAACAGAGGCCGGGAGTCTAGGGCATTTGAAGGGCTATTTAACTTGTTTAAAAAATTTCCCTTTGCCACACAGCGTGACATGAAAGAATTAGCCTGTTAAAGTGGAGAACTGGGCCTCCGCAGGTTCATTTGTCACAAGGTGGCTGTTTCGTTAGCACAGCTTATGAGGAAGGGTGGAGGCGGTGTGTGGTTTATCGCCAAGCTCTTGGAATTATAATTCAGTTTAACTGGGAATCATGGAGTTCTAAGAGCACATATTGCATAATGGAGAGCCTTTCCAGCTAGAGGGCTGCTTTGGGGGAATACAAAGTGCTTGTGGCATTGAAGCATGTGAGAATCAAACACCTGATAGAATTTCTAACAATTTTCAGACTGCCTTGTTTCTTACCTGCATTTCTGTCTTGTAAGCTTTCTCTGTGTAAAGGCGGAAACACTTTCCTGGGCATGTCCGTCCAGCACGACCTGCCCTCTGCTGAGCTGAGGCCTTGCTGATGGCTGTAACCAAAAGGGATTCCACTCTGATGCGAGGGTTATAAACCTGATATTAAAAGGGGAAAAACAAGTTTCAGGTAAATTTAAAACATGTTAAACTAACACCCACAATCTACTATATCCACAAGCAGCTAACAAAAAATGCACAACACCACAAACACACAATCCACCGTAGTAGATATATATATATATATATATATAAATAATCTCTTTTTGCACCATGTGTATGACTTTGCTTCAGGCTGGTTAAATGTCAGAGGAATAAATAACTGGCTTTTCCGTCTTTGCCGCAAAGTTGCGCCCTGCTGTGTTTATCTGGGGATTCTCAGGCAACAGAGGCAGATGATCGCAGCAGATAACGAGTGGTGGGAGAAGATGGGGGTTGGTGGGGAAAAGAGGGGAAGCTAACCTTTTGCTTGGCAAATCCGGGATCAATTACAAACACCACGCCGTCGATGGTCAGAGACGTCTCGGCGATGTTTGTTGACACGACAACCTGTGGAAATGAGAACAGATGACTTAAGAAATGATCCACCCGGGGTGTCTGGAGGAACTGACAAAGACCTCTGACTCTCGACCTTGAATCAAAGTATTTTCAGACAGATTTACATGTGGCCATCAGTTATTTAGCAAATTCACTCTAACATGCACATGAGTACTCAACAACTTTGATTCATGTCGTTTCTTTTGAAATATTAGAAAACAAAGTAAAACTGAATTTGGATCGTTATTCAAGTATTCAAAAGTGCTTTGCACAATCAAAAAGTGTAGTGCTTTCCTGCAGTGGAGCAGTTCAGAAATCATAGTGATTCTTAAGAATGAGCAAGAAGAGAGACAAACAAGTGCAGATTTTAGCTTTGCTTTAACTTGGAAAACATTCCCCGATGTGAGCAAGTTGACTGAAGAAGCTTGTAGAGATGTCACTTTAGTGCACTGTACACACACTGTCTAATGCAGCCCAACAGGGGAGCACCACAACAATTTCTGCAATCAAGTTCAATGTGCCATCAACGTATTTGTGGAGAGAGCTGGCTTGGTGCTGAGAGTCCCATCCAAATGCATTACCTCTGGCCTTTTTTTGTTGTGTGTGTGCGTGAGGCGGGTGGGGGTGGGGGTTTTGTCCGACTGTCCTCAGCATGCTACTGGTCTTGTAGAGATGTCAGCTTCCCTCTCTTCGATGGTTCTTCCCAGAGTCAAAATCACAGAAAATAGTTGATGTAATGGTTCCTCTTAGGTGGCCTGCTTTTTTAACACATTGAGAGCTCTACAACGGCTGCTGCTGTCATCCAAACAGCTTTTCTTCCCCCAAATGAGGGCTGCTGTAGATATCTCTTGTGAATCCAGCACGTCTCTTGAAATTTGGAACACTGCTGTCTGTGGACATGCCAACTGTGCGCGGCTCATTGTCGCTGATTGGCTCTTGCTGTGTGCCACGCAATGCTGGCTCCTCCAAAGCTGTGTTTCAAAAACAACCACAGGCAAACGTCACTGACAATGTATGCATTACGTTCAGTTTGAAATATTTTCAAGATCAGTGACCTGACCACCAAGACCCCCTAGTTTAATAGTAGATCAGCAATTATTTGTATAGGAGCTTTTAGATTAGACAGTAACTATCTTATTCCAACACTTAACTCAAAAAGAGGATCTTTATTCCGGCACATTGTGTTAAATATTAAAATATGACAACTTTAATGTTTGTCCATATCCAGTCCCCATAAAAATTGTGACAAATGTGTCACAGGGTTAAAATTGGATTTGATTTTGATATGTGTAGAAAAACCTCTTCAGCAGACAATCCTTACACCCTGGGGTCCAGGTGTTATGCAGGTGTAGTGAAAAGACCCAATAAAAGCTGGATTTATACTTAACGAGAGTCCTGCCACAGATACCTATGGTGTAGGTTTTGATTTATTGTTCAGCATTGGATTTTCCCCGTTGATACCTCCTCCACATCACTATTGGATGTATTGTCTGTAATCAGGCTGTTTTATGGTCTACTATTCCCCACAGTAACTGGCTTTCCTTCACTTCACGATACAGAGCGATGTGCTACGCATCTAGTACCAGCACTGAAGTTACATACTTTTACTTCACTTCACACTAATGTGTGCTAAAAAGTGATCCTGAATTGTTAAAGGAGCATTATATCATTAGTTGTTATTCATAATCACGACCCAATAATGTTGACCCATCAAAGTTTCAAACAGGAGGCGCTGGTTGTGGAACATTTTCCACTGATTGTTTACTGTTCTAGGCATAATTAAATGTTTAAAATAAAGAAAAACTGATTTCATACTTGTTAAAGCCAGGTAACACATGCTAATGCAGTTATGCTCATCTGATAAGTGAAGAATGCAACGGTGGAGATATTAAAGGAGTTTTATGGGACTGGGGTGGTATGGGATTTGATTTAAGCTTCAGGGCTGATGTCAATGTTAACCATCTTTATACAGAGAAATGCTGCAAAAAGAGGAAATAAATAGAGGAAAAAACGAATGAAATGAAAAACCGCTTGGTTTCTAAGTGTAAGGCAAGCAGGGGAAACAGTGAATCTGCACCATCTCCCAGTCTCAGATCTTTTTCTATTACAATTATCCCCTACAGCAAGACTGTCTATGAGAAATGACAGCTGATTCTGAGCAAAAAATAAATAAATAAATAATCAAACAAGTCACATCACCCTATGGGTCTCTTGCTGTCAGCATATACACAAACAGGGGGAGGAGGAGAGTGGGGAGGAGGGGGAGACAGATTTGCAGCTGCTCTCACGCGAACCTTGACCGCCGCTAGGATGACTTCTCTTTATATAACAGCTGAAACAGACTCGACAGAAAAACCCTTTAGATTCATCTTAGCATTGTAGACTCTAGTGGCCGGGTCAAAGCCCACTCTACTGGCAACTGCCACTCCAGTGTGCCATAGCTGAATATACAAGAGGCTGTTTGGAAAGAAATGCCTCTCCACACTCACTTGCTCAACATCTACCACGACAGGAACAAGCTGTAGCCCGACCTAGGCAGTCATTTGGCGGTAGCCGTCTGGTTTTGTGCTTGGCATTTTAGCATGAGGACTACCAAGAAAGCCAAGAGTTCCGTGTAGTCTTTGCTGATACAGGTCCACAGAAGCAATTGTGCACACTTGACACACTTCCTTTGTAGCTGCCTCTTCAGCTGTCTTCAAGCTGCGAGTCTTACAGACTTGAAAATCCCACCTTTTAAGCGAGGATTTCTCTCCAGCCCTGAGAATGCCTGACTGTTTAGTTATTAATGCCGGGCGGGGCCTTGACCTCGGGTAATTCACCTGTCGAAAGACTCGTTCCCCTTAGTATTCAAGCAGAGGAATGAAGAGATGGCAGCAAGAAACTGATCTGAGCAGTATCAGGCAAATGGTTGGGTTGTTATTCATGTATTTCTTGGATGAACGGCTATCTAGGTCTGACTGATATAAGCACTCCATGACAAATTTGAGATGCTTAATTTTGATGGACAAAAATAACAACAACAACACTGACAGAAAATAATATGGGCTGTCTAAATGACAACCAGTTTAGTGGGGTTACACCAAGACCAACTGCTTGGTTCGACGGTATAAGGCACACCCGTGGCGCACTTCCACAGTAGCAACATAACATGTAATCATTATCATGGGTTCTGCTTTTATTTCCACTGCTCTCAATTAGCTTAGGAGACGAGTTCCTGAAACTAAATTCCTAAAGGATAACATTCATTTTACTTCTGCACCTGTGCACAATGGAGAACGCTTGAGGAGACCATTCAAAGCAAGTGTGCGTTTAGAAACGAAAAAGGTGCAGTGTCTGGCAGAAATGGAGATACATTTGCAGAAAATGTTTTCTAAAGTGGTTTGACACGATGGACACTGTCTTCACGTAAATGTGAAAGAAAAACACCACCACTTCTTACATTATTTATGGTTCCACAACTGCTTATTTCAATCTCCTACCAAGCAGCACATAAAATCGACTTATTCTGGTCCATTTTTGGCATATTTCCAAAAACATCCAAGGTTATAAAATACAGTGAAAAGTACCAAAGACTTACAGGTTCCTAAAAGCCCCTGGTAACAGTTCCTGCAGTGGAAAAGGGCCATCAGTGGCTCAAAGGTACAGAGGAATCATATCTTTACGAAACCAATTAGCCACACTGTGGCAGTTTGAAATTAAAGTGTCAGCCCCCCCCCCAAAAAAAAAGAAAAAGAAAAAAAAAGACCAGGCTATCAGACAGTGTCTCATGACAGAAACTATATGCCAGCGACCAACCTCCCAGCAAGAAATAAAAGGTATGGAATGCTTCAAAGTCTGGTTAAAAAATGCTCTTGGTGAGGTTGCCACCGTCCTCCGTGTTGGGACACAGTCAGTGCTCCAGCAGATGCCACACATGACACCCCCTCACATTTCATGATCATATGGGTGGCCTCATTGACTGCATTGATTCTGAAGGATTATACAGGCTAGGGCCATTACACTGAACGCAGGCTGGCTCCTTCCAGTCTGTTGCTGCACGGGATAATCCTGGCTTCTTCATCAGTAATATCATTAGAGCATCATCTCTGCATGTTATTTCTGGGTTATTACCTGCAGGAGAGCAAGTACTATGGCTAACATGGGCCATCTTTCACATTCCCTGCTGCAGAAACACAGCCTTGTTGACAAATAAAGCCTTCTTGATTGGGAAAAAAGGAGAACGTGCCTTGAGCGGCATCGACAAAACCCACATTCAAAGCTCATTGAAATGGATACGTGGTATTATCACGGGTGACATTTGGAGGGAATATTCCAAACATGACAATGCTAAACACAAACCTAACGCTCATCACACACATTTGTTAGAGACAATCTTTGAGATGCTGGAAAACAAAGTCAGATTATAGTCTTTGTTTGTAATTAGTCAATTGCTGCCTTGGCTCTAAATGATTTAACTATTCAAAAATAGAAGATCACTGGCTTTCCAGGAGAAACAGAGCAATGACAAGCTAGTGCTTTATGTTAATTGAGGGGTGCCTAATGCAGTCGTTAGCATGCGTGGCGGCAGACGTGGCGAACCTTAATTCTTTTTCACTACTTCCTCTTGGGCTGGCTTGGATGACATCTCTGCATTTTTCACTTGATGAGTCGTTCAGTCAGTCATGGAGCGCAAGCACATTCAGTTCGAGCACGGCAACTTTAGATGCCACCTGACAAATTGATCTTGAGGAAGAAAGGGGGCATCAACCTTTCTGTTCTGAAGCTAAAAGTGGCTGCTGGGTTGACAGTTCAGAGGTCGCAGTGTCACTACATTCACTTTAGTTCTTGTACTAACAACTCAAGGGAATCAGGGAGAAGTAGCTGCAAGAGGTGGTGTCATTTAGAAAGCCCACTGCCAGTGGCAAAAAAAGGTATGTGTCTAGACAGATGTATGTAAACTCACAGGGCACATGCAGACATCGTCGCAAGAGCCGTGTAATATTTAAACCTGTTCTAATGCAACCGTGGCCCTGTTTCATGTCAACATCCCTTTGAACGGCAGAGGCAAACACTGGGAATGATATTTGAACTTTTGAAAAAAGATCTTATCCAACACCGTATAATCAAACCACTAAGAATGCTGAGATTCTTAAGCCTGCAGACGTACGCACAATTCAAACAGAAAGCTTGGAGAGAAGAAACCGTAAAGCTCAAGACAGTATAGGGAGACGTGCAGTAGTGTCATGTTTGATCCAAACCTAGTGGGGTAGTCTGTTCCGCTCTATAAATGTACACTTGATAACACACTTGATCCCTTTTTTCATTACTTGTTTGTTTAATTTTATGTTAATTTTAGGAATCGTATATTCAGGGATCTATTATATTATTATAATTATTACACTAGTGCTAGGTTATATAGTATACTAGTACATGAAATTATATTGAATCTCATAACATATTAACATTATACTAACAGCATACTATGAAGTGAACATTATACTTTTTATTTAAAGTTAAAGTTATAATATTATACTAATACACTTATTTTACTGGTTACTCATCCAGGTTGTCTGTAGTGCATCTGCAGGGGACATGTAGATTAAAGTGCAATTTATACTTCTGCGTCAAATCGACGGCGTAGGTGACAGGGCTACGCAGAGGCTACACAGTCGCCTGACATGCACCTCCTTCAAAATGTAACTACACGCCGAGTCGACGCGGACCATAAGCTCTGTGATTGGTCGGCTGGGTAGCCTCGCGATGCCTCCGAGCCGACTGGAAGTACCACGCGCTTTGAAGTAACATTTACTAGCGGCCAAAACGGCGGCTGTAACACAGTGAATCAATATATTTGACCGTCACAACCCCGAGCGAAATGACTCGTTTTGCTATCAGAATGTGATCCATTTGGTCGGTAACATTTGAAAAGGCTACACCAGCCGCACGTATAATTTTACACCCATTTACGTTAGCGGAGCGCTAAACAGGAAGTTAGCCTACTTGGCTGACAAAAGTCAACACAGTGGACGCTGTAGCGCTACTGCCGACTAACGTTTTACACCTACGCACAAGTATAAATGCATGGCTACGCACGTAGACCCTACGCAGGAGTATAAATGGGCCTTTAACCAGAGCCAGGAACCACCGTGCCAATGTGTGCTCCCTCTAGCCGGCCTCCTCCTGACAGCAACACGTTCCCCTTGTTCTACTTTACATCTTTTTTTACTAAAGTTACTGTAATAAATATTGTACAGCAATATTATTTACATAAAGTATAGAGTGGATTGTGCTGGTGTATCTGTCTCTGGTTCAAAAACTACCAGGCTAACACACTCCTAAAGTACCACATTCCACAAGCAGCACTTCCATCATTACTGCACACTAGCAGAAGGAGCAAACAGTCTTTTTTACATTTTTTCATTTAAGAGCACATACTCCTTAGGAAAAAAAGTTTGCCTACGGCCCTGTTTCTTCCTAAAAATCAAGGTTGAATTGAGCCTTTTTTAAGCATTGTAATGTGTTTAACTTTGACAGCCCGTAAACATTTTTGCCGCTCATGTGTCAGCCTGATCTGCCTCAATTAGAGGGGTTGTAGCAATGAGTCATTCATCAACATCGTCCCCTATCAGATGCTGGAGGTGACTGTTTGCTTATTCACTGGCAGTGATGATATTCTGTCAGATCCCTGGCCAAGAGTGTGGCAGCACAGGTGGTGCTGCTACTCTGGTGATGAGCCCATCTGAACAGAAACTGTCACACAAGAGAGGAATTGTCTCATGCCTGTATCAATAAGAGGATCAGCCACTCCTCTGAGATTAAGCGATTGAAGGGAGAAGACGAGAGTCTCGCTTTCGATCAGCTCGTATAACGAGCACCTTTCTCGTGGTTACAGACAGCAGAGGTCTTAGGCCTCCTCTCTAAGTAGCAGCAGCAGCAGCAGCAGGGCCTGTGCAAACGTAGTGGAAAGATAAAAACGACTGAGAATGCAGTACTTTCCTCAGGCTCAGAGGGCGTGAGTAATACCCCAGTTATAATTTAGAGCAGAGAATCGCATGCTGACAAAGGCAGCATATGTTGTGTGAGTCAGTTCTGCGCTAAAGCTGAGAAAGGGAAAAGAGTCTCTACCTTCCAGCTCTCTTCCTTTGCCCACCTTATTCCCCATCTGGCCTTTCTACATCAACCCTGCTCATTTTCTCTTTCACTTACTCTCTCCCTCAAACTCCCCACTTCAATCGCCCCCCTCCTCTGAGTGTTTTTATAGCAACAAGGCAGTTATACCTTCCTTCCGATGGCACCATTTGGTTTATTGGGTGGGGGTGGCTCAAAGATCCTCTGCTGCTGCTGCGGAGGCAAAGTGGAGTACAGCGGGATGATTTTGATATCGCCGACTTCGGGCCCCAGGTCGTCGACCTCCCTCTTGATTCGTTTGCAGGCTTCGTCAATTTCCTGAAAAGATGGAGGTGCAACAATTAATCCAGGTGTCACTTGTGTATGCAAACAGCAAAAAAACAAAAAAAACACACCTGGGTAAACCATGGCGGCGAATCTGGATGATAAGGCAAGGGCGAAGGGAGGTGGCCGGGAAAACCGTGGTTCCCTGCTACAGAACATTTGTTCTAACTATCGCTCCATCTGACGGAGGAAATTAAACCTGGACTGCAGTATGCTTTCCTGAGCTCCCCGTGGCTCTGTTGTCAAATGCAGCAATCATGGAAAACATGGACGCGCACGCTCCGAAGGCGCGCACACACACACAGCGCCAGACAGACTCAAACAGGGTTCATTATTCCACAGTGCAGTATTGTAGAGGGGAATGTGAGATGAGACTGCAGCACTGATGCATAACCAGCGGCAAATCATGGCAGATCAGTTTAGTGAAGCTGAACGTTCTAGAGCCGGTGGGCTGGCAGACAGACAGAGGACCTGAGAAGCGCCAGGAATAAGAAAGGATGATAGTGAGCACAGGGCTAGGGCCTCTAAAGGCCTATTGAAATACACTATTAAATGAACTAAATATGCCCACATGGCACCCCACTGCTTATAACTCATTAACATAGAGAAACAGGTTTTATTTTACATACATATCCCTATACACACTCACACATTTTTAATGATCACACTTGAAGGCCGCTCTGGCCTAAACACAACATATAACATATTCAGTTCCAAGCGACTCCCGCTGTTAAGAACAATTTTCTTTGTTTTGCTAACAACAATCATTTAATCCTCATGAATCCTCATGAAGCAGCAGTCCCTGTATGTGTCACATTACAGCCTGTACTGTTGCACCACCTGCAGGCCTGTTGGCGCAATACAGCAACTTTTACAAAGAGGAGTGATGAGGCAATGATGAACAGGAGCTCTTGATTCCCAAAATGATTTTACCGGTGGTTATACAGACAGACAGTGGGGCTACATCAGAGCTTTCCATGCACACTTTTTATTTAGTAGGCTAACAAAACCAACCCATAAAACTTCTCTGACATTTTTGTTGCCTCTTCTAAAAGCACACTGTGCTTAAATCAGTTAAGGCATGACTGAAACGGTCTTAATTCTACACTGGGTGAAGCCAGTCGCACTCGCCTTGACACCAGAAAGCACCACGGTGATGTATCCAGCTTTCCTTCTGGGCTGCAAGTGTGTTATTAGCCCTGTTTGTCCCCTTGTTCATCGCATTAAGTCATACCCTGCTGATGGCCATGTGCCTCTTAATCAACACACTGACAAGTGGAAAACGGTAAATCTGAATGGATTGGTAAAATTAGCCTGGGTATTAATAGCCTATCAAGCCTCTGGATGCAGCAGCTGCCATGGAGAAAAAAATGGACCTCTTTGCCAAAGCGCTGGAAGCAAGCTGGCTGTCTGTCCCTTAGGGACATCAAGACAGAGTGCGTGTGTGTGTGCATGTATGCGCGCACATATACATACATAGGGGCAGTTGGCCAGTGTTGGGACCTGTCCACAAGCTCTCCCTGCGACCCCAGAAGCAACAATCTACAGCCAAGCTAATAACCGACACATTTAGGCACTCCTCTTGACTAGCAAACAACCCCCCTGCCAATCCCCATGTTTTGATGTCAGCTGCTGAGGGGGAAGCTTAAATATTAGGACTTATCTTTGCTCAACAGCTGTGATAAGTTTCCACTTTCTTGTTTGGAGTTGGTGCTTCAGTTCTATTTGTTTGTGGAAGCAAAATACCTCACAGAAAAACTAAGAAAGGGGAGGAGGGTCCTGTGCATTTTTGCTTTCGTCCGATATAAATTAAACAGCCAGATATAAAAAGAGACTATGGCTTTGCCACGGATCTGCCTCCCAATCATTAGTCTACATCAAAGTTGCTGGGAGACTGAAGAGGTTAAGAAGTGCTCGAGGGATGCGTTGCAGCACCCTTTGAACACCCATCTCTGCCAGACCTACCACACATTAACTTCTTTAACCCAATTAGGAGGGGGTGATAATTAACTCACTGTGGGAGTGCTCTCAGTAATGCCTTTGCTTGACACAGTGTGGGGGGGGTGGGGGGTGGAATATAAATCAACAAATTACATCTAACTGCAAAAAACATGTTTAACGCATTGCCAGCAAATATTCCAGACTTCTCTACACATTCACATGAGCGCAAATCCGCGGTTCAGGCCATCCAAGCAGCTGGGATACCATTAAATCTAAAATCAATTACCAGCCCTCAGTGGAGACAACTTCAAACACCATGCCCTCCGATGGCTTCATCCCATTTGTAACAACCCGCATATTGATCCTGCTTTGGCAAATGAAAACTGATTGTTGTAATGCCACAGTCAGGCCGGTGTTGAGTGACAAATAATTACTGCTAATAAACAACCCGTCGCAGGATGTGATCGGGGAAAGCCAGAAAGACACAACTGCGTCAAGACGTTTTAAAGATTCCTTGTGTAGATGACAAATTGCCAATGTGTCATTTAAATCTCTGGAGCAATGTGTGTTGTATTTACACCACCAGTTACGTTCTCCTTTACAACTACAGGTAATCACGTGGTCTCCAACACTTTTTTGTGTGAGCTGGGAGAATAATCATACCAGCACAGGCTTCTCCTGTCCAATGATCAGGATTTTCAGTGTGTGTGTGTGTGTGTGTGTGTGTGTGTGTGTGTGTGTGTCCACCCTGCTGTGACCAAATTCATCATTTTGGGCATGAACCCTGACCTCCATTACACATCAGTGGACGACATTTAGAAAAAATTATAAATTACTTAATTTCAGAGATTCGTGGGAAAGGCAGGATCTGGGTCACTCCTAGTTTTTGTTTTTTTGTTTCCTTTGCTGTGCAAATCCTGGTGGTTCCCAAACAGGCACACTTATGCGCACTAACATCTATCAATGTGAGGATTAATCATTTCCTGCGCGGAGAGTGCATGTGTGCGCTCACGACACCGTGTATGGGAGTAACTCGTCTATGTAATTAGATTAATATGCGCACTCTTAGCTTTGGAGATGTAGAAATTTTTTGCACATGTTTACTGCCTTGTTTGTTTAGATGACAGTAACAATATCATACATGTATTTAGTGCTGAAACGATGAATCGACCCATTAACTGACAGGCAGAAAATGAACCTTTTAACTATTTTGATATTTGCTTAGATTTTGTGTAAGGATTTACACCTTCTTCTGCTTTTTATAAAATAGTAAAATGGTATTGTCTGACAGAAAACGCAATTTGAAAAGCTGATGATTAACAGAAACAAAAATAGCCACCTGATTAATCGATTATGAAAATTACCATTAGCTCCAGCCCTTCATGTATCTGACGAAAGTGTCTCCAAAGATAATTTATCTGTATCAAAATCTTTACATATACAATGAAACATGAGACCAGCTTACAGTGTTTCCTGTTTACAACCATCACAAATCTGGCTTTTGTAGAAAATCATGGGCAATCATTGAAAAAAAGAATAATTAAAAACCAATAGTCGTACCTCCTGTCCAGTGAGGAAGAGCAGAACGTCCCCTTCGTCCACTTCACACATGTGGATCTGGATCACGGTGCGGATGGCCGCCTCCAGGTAGTCACGCTCCGGTTCCGGTGTGTAGAAAATCTCCACAGGGTGTGTGCGTCCAGGGATGGTCAGCAGCGGGCAGTGGTCAAAGTACACCTGGAACTTTCCGGCGTCGAGTGTCGCGCTCATGATGATGACCTGCACAGAGAATAAGAGATGCGTAGTCTGTGAGGGACAATGTATGCGTAAAAGAGGTGAAAGGAAAGATAAAAGTAAAGACTGCAGAGTGTAAATGACTGAGGTAATTATGGGAGTGAGCACTCAAGTGTAGAATGACTTAACATTTTACACGGCTTGATGATAATTGGGGATAAGGACACATACTAAGTGGATAAGGGTGCAACTAAATACAGAATAGATGAAGAGTGCAAAAAGCTATACTGGGTGGGTAACGCTTTGAATCAGAATTTAGGATGAGCGCGCTGGCTCAAACCCAAGATGGGGCAGATATAGTGTGGAACTTGGCATTACACTCCAAGTCACTGACCTACACGGAGCTATGACAGTCCTTGTTCCTGATGTTGGGTACACAATGTTCTCTCCCGAGCCATTAGATAGAGCGCATTAGGATTCTGATCGTAAACGCGCCTCCCATTTTCAATCTCAAACATTTTCAGGGGCCAGTGTCTCTGCATTTCGCTTTACGCTCTGCGAGACATCATAATTGCTCTTAATCAAGGCAAATTAAACTTTCAAATTTGGTAGGGGATAGGGATGAAGGAGATAGAGGGGTGTGGGTGGATGATCATTCCCAATCACCTAGACCTCATTTAACAGTCCGCGAACAACAATCTAACCTTTGATTCCACATTGACAAACAACTAGTTATTATCCATCTGCTTTATGTGAATTAACTCTGGCACACTCTGCCTATAAAACTTCTGCCTGCCTGTACGCTCCCATCCACACCGACGCGTTGCTGCTCCCTACCCCCCCCCAGATGATTGGCTTAAAATGGGGCTGACCAGTGGAGCAAGCTCCAGCAAGCTCCACTGGTGTTGCAGTGCAGAATAGATGTGCATTTCTGAGCCCAACAGCGGCATTTCTCTTTCCTCAACAGATACACAGCTGTCAGACATGGGGACCCTGTCAGGGAAAATGTGACAAAAAAGGAGGAGTGACAGAAGAGGGACATAAACACTGGCTGTCACTGAGTTTATCGGGGGGGCTTGAACACTGTTTTGTCAGCATTAAGTGGGACATATTTCTGGAAACAAATCAGACTGCTGTCAAGAGTACTTTCAACACCATGTCTGGAGATAAGACAAAATAAAAGTGAAGTAAACTTGATGTTCCAGAATAAACAATGACTGTAGGTGCTGGGGAAATTTAGGAACTTAAACTACCTTTACAAAAGCATTTGTTTTTTATATATATTTTTTAAAAGCTGATGTTACCTTAAGGTCAGACCTCGAGCGGGCCACCTCCTTGAGGACCCCCATGAGGATATCTGTAGCTAATGTGCGTTCGTGTGCCTCGTCCAGGATGATGACACCATAACGCTCCAGCAGTGGATCGTTCATGGCCTCCCGCAGCAACATTCCATCTGTCATGTACCTGGGTGAACAGAAGACACGCGCTTTAGCATCATAGACAATGGCATTATCTGAATTAAACCTTGCTTACAACTTAATGGAATGAGCATTCCCTTTAAGACAAACATTTCCCCCACTTCAGTGCTATGGGCAGAACATAAAAAAGAGGAGTAAGTATAAAATCAAGATGCATCTGTAAAAAATTCAATCCTATGCTTTAACACCAGTCGGTCAAGCATTGGACAATTTAATTATCTACATCTGTGAACTGAAAAACTTTTGATTTTATGCACTTGAAAAAATAAAAGTGCACAAATGATCAAAGTCTATTGAATTAACTGTAGATAATCACTAGTACAAGGCTCCTGTAACGGACCCTTACCATTATCAACTTCTCCCAATACAGCTGTAGGAGCCATGGTGGACATTTTTAATAATCCTTACTTGAGCACCGTCTTGGCAGAGCTGCAGTCCTCGAACCTGATGGAGTAGCCCACCTCTTGGCCCAGCATGATATCCATCTCATCAGCCACCCTCTGGGCAACGCTCATGGCCGCCACCCTCCTGGGCTGGGTGCAGGCCACTGCCCTCTTTGGTCCCGGCATTGACCGCACCATGTCCACGCACCACTGAGGGATCTGGGAGACAAGTCGGGATGAGTTTGAGCTAAAGAGACTGCTAAAAAGACATCCGAAGAATTCTTTAAATTAAAAAGCTAAGAAGTGCGAATAGGCAGAAAAAAAAGGCAGAAGATGTAGGAGGATAAACCCAATTAATGAGTACCGCAGCCTATTCCAAATATTCTCCGCGCTACTACAGTTTGCCATGTCCTGCAAAGCAAATATCATACCTGTCAACATTTTCACTGACAGTATGTTCCTGCTTAGAGCTTCAAAACAGAAGCAGCTTGCTAAGAGAGGTGCCAACGAAGAGAGTCTTACTTTCACTCTATTAAACTTGAGGTTCGGATGACTGCCCTTTCGAGATGATTCAAATCTTACCAGTCTTTGAAATGTCAGGCTATCAGAGGAACAAAAAAAAGCAGATGACAGGTTTAGAAGAGATAAATATACTTACAGGACCTGACCTCAGGAGAGCTGCATGATTAATTGTATTGCAATTTGTATTTAAATTTATACATATTTGCAACCTCATTTATGGTACATAATGATAATTTAAGCTGCATTTGCATTAAGATAAAGTCAATGCAGTATTCCTTTGTTTTAAAACATGTTTTACTCGAAAAATGAGAGACTTCTTTAATCCACAATGGTGCAGCCCTAACATTAGGTAGTCGGCATTCACCTCTGATCTATTATTTTCTACTTTGGCTCAAAACGATACTAAATATTCACTCATAAATCTCAAAAAATGCCATTAATTATTCAATTTTCTTTCTAAAGCGGATGACCCCAGATGAGGACCCTTAAAAGATCCATACATGTAGCCTCTACGTTGGTGTGTATGTTGTGTGTGTGTGTAGAGGTGACGAAATACTGAACATTCTTTAAGAAGTACGCAGAGTTCAAAAATGCATGATGAACGTGCAGAATAAAAATGTTTTCCAGCATGACAGAGGCAGAAAGCACTGACAAGATTACACCACTTCATTTACGAAGTGTTTGGAAGATAGTTTATATTCCCCTCAGGAGGCGGCCATGGCTCAACCACTGATTTACTCTAATCTTCTCTCTTGCAAATTTAAAAAAAAAAGACATCCCAGCTCTTTCAAGAACTTAAAATAAACTTAAAAACCACACACTGTGAATCAAATCCTCAGAGAAACTGTTTAAAATGCATCAACTGTTCATTGCGCCCTGTTTTTTTTTATGGTATTATTATCATCCCAATTATATTACTGAATTTCACATTTTACTTTAATCTGTCACATTTCAGTGAGTTTATTTTATAAAAACCACATTTTTAGGGGCTTAATGTGCTGGTATTTGCAAAAACTTCTAAGCTATCTGCCTTTTACCTGTGTGGTCTTTCCCGAGCCCGTCTCTCCCACCAGCACAAAAGACTGGTTACGCATCAGGATGCTGGTGAAGCTCTCTCTGTACTCCCAGACAGGCAGCTGCAGCCGCTTCTTCAGGATCTCATAGTAGCGTGGTGTGTGGGGCAGGTTGGTGAAGGGGTTGATCTGCTGCTGAAAAGGGGTTGGCTTAGGGAAGCCGCCGCCGGCAGCTGGGATGCTGGGCAACCCGGATGACTTCGCGTCTCGCCCCCTGTCGCCCTCTCGATCTCGATCCCTCGACTGTTCATCGCGGTCTCGGTCTCTGCCGCGGTCGCGCCTGTGAGAGGAAGATGCATGAGGTTAAGATTTGATGAAGCACTGCCACTCAAATTAACCCATTTAACTTACCACAGAGAGACACAACATATCTCCTTAACACAAACACATGCACACTCACCCAAGTAACACTGGCAATAACCAAATCTAACAGTTTTGCCCTATAAATGATAAAGATTAAATCAAACATGGAACAGACAGTGCACAAATGTTAGCCCATGTCAAGTCCTTTTCTTAAAATTGCATGAAAAGGTTACTGCACACCCTTATTCACAGCTGCAAAAAACCCCCAGCCTAATCAAGTGTAGCATGCAAAGGTCATGAACGAACTAACTGTCTACAATCCACATTGGGCAAGATTATTTTCCTATTGCACAAATGTGTGTTTCATGGCTTCAGGACAGACTGAGAACCACATTAGCTGGAAGCTAAGCTGAGCGCAATGTTGACTTTAAGGTACCCTGGAGCTAAGTGCTTAACAGCCAGCTCCTGCAGTGGAGCTGGCTGCACAGGAGCCAGATGTAGAAGATGTTGTGTGCAGCTCTGTGGCAGCGCTTAGGTGTGAATGTGTCTCAGTTTATTACTACCCAATACAGCCATACAGGGATAAATTACTTGATCTGGCAGTGCAAATTATCAAATGAGCTACTCATTTCTGCCACACATGTAGTTTGAAGTCCATCAAACACCAAACAGCTGACCTGGATGTAGCATCTCTAGTATGCAAGCCCTTGACTTTGGGAAAACAGCAGCATGCACATCAGATGATGCTAAGCTCTGTTGTTTGAACATTATTATAACTGAATTTATGGTGCATATAATGTATGCAATATTCATTTATCCCGTGGGGGAAAGAATTTCGCTGGAACCTCCCGTAAGGTCAAAGCGATGTCAAATCCCGGGCAGTCACCCTGAGCGTTACTCTCGATGACTTTGACAACTGGCAAAGAGACGAGGTTTCAACTTCTACAGCAACCAAGTCGTCTGTAACGTTAGAGCTATGTTGACGCTCAGCAGTCATTTAATGTGCCTGCGTCCAGCTTGGGTTCACAACAAAAGTCGACTGGCACTGATTCGGGACGATGGGACGTGGCAGTGACGTCTGACAGGGCACCTCATGTAAGCGGGTAACATTAGACCGCCTAACGTTAGTCCAGTCCAGTGTCCGACTTTAAAGCAGTTTTTTCTTCGCTTTGTAAAAGCCACACACGCCGTAACAACCAAGAGTATCGTACATTACGACACGCTGACTTTGTGTCATGGAAGGTATGACCTTTCTGTTTAGGACGTAGCACGCCACCTAGCACTGGCTAGCATGTAGCCACGTGCAGACCAGACCAGTCTGCTAGCCACGTTAGCTAGCTAACGTTACACGAGCCACTTTGCTGGATTACCGCTGCATAAACATATCGTCCGAGAGCAGCATTATCTAGCGGGCTGGGTGTCCGTACAACGATGGATTTCCATCCTCGCCGCCGCTAACTTACTAGCTAAACTCGCAAAGAGTTAGCATGGCTAGTTTAGCATCAGGACCACAACAAAACAGCCTGCAACAGCGGACCGCTTTTGTGTAACGCTACCTAACTTACCCATCACAGGGTTTCTTTTTACTCGACGAATAGTCATCGCCCGACTCTAAACGATGTCGCTTGGACATCTTGCCACCGGTGTCCGTCCACCCAGCGGCTAGTTATTCCATGCAGATTCTCACCAAACTGTTAAAACACCGGCAAAATGGCGACCGGAAGCTCTTACCTCATCATTATCCTTGGCAAAATGACTCGGAAAGCCGCGATTTACTGTGAGACAAATTAAGCGCGTTGAATACAAAAAGGGTCCCAGCGTTAATGATCCGCGCACATTGTGTTGTCCATGAAATCCTACTGCAGCACCTACAGATACAATACAGTGGTTTAGGGATGCGGGGAGGGGGAGGATGCTGGAGGTCCTCTGCGGGTCGGGATGATGATGATGTGCCCGCCAAACAAGCATACACACACACACACACACAGGCACCACTGTTGCCTCGCCCCCTTCAGTCCAAAGCTTCAGCCTCACTGCAGTACAGGCAGGTCTTTTCCTCAAGCAAAGAGCGACCTGTCTGAAATAATTTTGTTGTTGTACTTATGACTTGATGCATATTAAATCTCAGCTACTTTTTCCTCTGAAGGAGTGAAACAGCCCCCTCATAGACCCATGGTGATACTGGGACCCTACTGTGGGGAAATTTAGCAACTAATGAATAGTCCTGTTATTAAAGAATAAATACGCAACCACATATTCTGTTTTTCGTAGTGGAAATTAAGTGATCTTATAGTTTTGATGTGCTGAGTAACAATGCAACAGAATGCCACACAATTACATAACATATAAAATAAAAATAAAAAATCTTAATAGTCAAAACCAACAATAAATGAAATACACATTATATTTTGAATGACATAATTTGATCATTGGTCTTTAAGTCGTATTAATGTCTCCGTCCGCTCTCTGTCTTCACTCATTTTCTTTAACGTGAGAGTTTTCGTTTCTGGCGGCCTCCATGAGGATGTGTATTGGCACACTGGCACCCAATTTTACTGCTCATCCTCAACCTTATATGGGCGAGTAGTCTCCAGCTAGACTGCCCATAGGTTAGAGGGGTGTTATCAACCATCTGTATGTGGGAGTTGGTCAAACAACCAAAAAACACATGAAAATTAAGCAAATCTTATATGTAAGTGTATTGTTTACTTGTTAGTTTATTTTTACATTTTTCCAAAATGCTGGATGCATGTTAAAGTTCCACCCAGAATGAACAGGAAGTATTTAACTTGTTTTATCAGGACTGTAGTGTATAGGACTCTGTAGACATGGACAAACACTTGATCCAGTCTGGAACGTGCAATCAGGAAAAGTGATGAGCATGACTTTTTTTTGTATTACTTCTAGCTCCGTTTGAAGAGCCAAAATCCTTCTCTCAACCTCTACAATTATAAAGTGATGAATAATCTGTCACCGAAGACAATCATTGCCGTTGACACAGGTAATTACACAGCCTGGACATTGCTAACAAGCTGCATAATGGCAAATGGCTCATTGCTTATAGCTGGGGGATTGATGGTGATGGTTAAGGAGAAGTCAACGTTACAACAAAGTCATAATGCGCAAATATTCAAGGATAATTTAAAATACTGGGGATTTTCCACCGTTCTGTCTGTCTCTTTTTCACAGGCTATTAAGTAGCAGTCCAATTGTGTATGAAATAGCTCTGGCAAACATAGCTGCAGAGCTGGCGGTGAGAGCATGGACAATACTGGGGACTAATCATTTAGAATATTGCTACATGGAACTCAAACTGCACTAAAAAAAGCGCTAGCTTTAAAGACCTGGACAGAAGGGATGTTTTTATGCCCCGTTTCATACAACACTGGAGCATTGATGGGTTATGGAACGGCATAGGCACCAGGGGTCCGAGGGTTCAGGGGGCCCCTGGGCCAGATCCTCTGCTGAAAGTTACTGTGACATTTCTTGCTGGAAAGTAACAAAGCTCAGTTAAAAGCAGGACTGTCTTGATCGTGTTTTCTTACTCCTGATCTTGATCACAATTATTTAATTTTGAGTATCTGTCATCCAAATCCGATCTAATATTTGAAGAGTTCATTTGCAGAAACATATATCTCCACTGTCATTAATTTTCCTTATTTTATTTAAATGTTTACTGCACTCCAGGGAACATAAATTAAACTGGTGTTGGATTGTTTTGGCAAATGAGCTCTTCATTTGTTTTTTTTGATACTGATCAAAGCTGCACAGCATACTCAGGGTAGTAGTGTTTCACTCAAACACAGCACTGAGAGTTCTGTTGCACCTAACCCTTTACATGTCTATGACTCATAATCCGTTCTACAACACACTAAAATAACTTTAGCTGAGCATCAGTAGAAGCTCGAGGAACAATTTGTGAATACTGTAGCGTTGCATTACAAAACATGCACCAGCCTCATTTACCAACCATTCTGAATAAACAAAAACTTCAGTGTAATTTATATGTTAGTGAATAATTTTGTATTTAAAATGACTTAATATTACTATACTGGTTACAGTTATCATTGTTGTCATACCCTGCTTTCAACTGTAACAAGAACGCTGGGACCGCTTCGTTATTTTGACTAAACATGACTAATAATGCTACAATCTTTTTGTAGCAAACAAGTACTCTTGCATCATTTGAGGGGAAATGTTGAACTGCAATGATCTATGAGACTCTTGAACTTTGTTGAAATACCAGAGTAGCGTACTTTTCTGAATAAATCTTTTCATTAATATCCACTTATGTGCTCATTTTTGCCTCGCAACAGTTGTGCAAGATTATACAATGAAGGGATTCCTGTTTGGAAGAGATTAGAGAAAATGCTCTTTCAAACCAAGTGAAATCAAGAACAAATACTCAAGAGCTCTTCTTACAGTGATGCATTGCAGCAGACTGTGATAACTCAACTGTATATGGTACCAAAAATCAACCTACATCCTTTCCGGTTTGAATCTTGTTAAAGCTTTTAAACATTATGTTATTTTATTGAGGTGATATTCAGATATTTATCTGGGTATTAAGAATATTTTTAATACAGAAGATTGAAAACGTCGAAATGTTGCCATTTTGTTTGTTTTCTGGAATTGCCCAAATACTGAAATTTGAATCAAGGTAAGTGAGGACTACCTCCTACCAACACCCAGGATAAGTTCGGCCCAACCATGATTTCTCTGCTGGTTGGGGACAGTGGCGTCTGCAGCTTGTGTCCCATCCTTGATATCACATCACTAGGTCCTATCGGCTCTTATCACACTGGCCCACCATCTCATATCTTAATAGAGATCTGACTGTATGCCGTGGCTACGAGCTGACCCCCAGCATGGCCTTTCTGCTTATCGGACGTCCACAACCTCACGCTCCTCCAACACCCTGCGACTTTGCGGGCCTGTCTTCCCAGCAGGGCCTTGGGAGCCATGTTGTTGTTGTTGTTGTTGCTGTTGCAGTCAGTTTCAGTTTTGCCTCCAGGATATCAGGAAACTACTGTGGTAGGTCACATGGGACAAAGAGCAGTAGGGCAGCCAGTATTCTGTGATCAAAGCAGCTTATATATTGATATGAGGGCTAACTGCAGATCCACTTTATTTACACCGTTTCTGTAATTTGAATAACCATTCAAGGACATGCCAGTTTGACATTTTGGGGAGTACTATTATTTGCTTTCTTGCTGAGACTTACATGACTATCTATACTACTCTCATATCTGTGGTAAATATATGGCTACAGCCAGTTAACTTAGCATAAAGACAAATTGTTGTTCCTACACTTCAATTTTTTAACTCCATACTTTAGTTGGTCCCCAGGAGGTAATGTGTTTTGGGTACTGCACTGAAGTTCCACCATAATGTCTTATGTCACCTTCAGATAGAGCCTGTTTCCTCTGGTGCCCAGGGCTTATGCTAAGCTAACGGGCAGTAGTTTCATAATTAGCGCGCAGATATGAGAGTGGTATATCAATCTTCTCATCCAACTCTAAGGAAGAAAACAAATGTGTGTTTCACAAAATGCTGAACTATTTCGTTTTTAATTGAGCGCAAATAAAAATCAAACAGCCTTAATCTTTCAGGGGATGCTCAGCCCATGTGGGAGTACACATGTAATCATGTTTGAATACCTTTATTGCACCTGTTTGATCGGGTGTCAAGTCCTCACTACTGCCAGAAAAAAGTAACAACTGGCCAGGTGTTAAGACATAAAGTGAGACCACATACAGACACTCTTGAGCGACTTCACAGAGGGATGTTGCCGGAAGGTCTTGACCACTAGGGAAGACAGAGCCAACATATATAGAAAGTGAACAGCTTGTCATCTGTGTGCATATTACAAACTAACATTTGTCTTGTGTGCCATGCTCTGAGCATTAAAAGTGTGACAATGCTTTAAGAGATGTTTGTCTCGTTGCTCATTGTCAGAGTGGGATTGCAAAATTGCCACGACAAAGGAAATCGCCTTTTGTCATGTACCTTAAGACTACATAGCCTTTACCAAGTGGAGTAGAGATTCGGGCATATGCAGTTTACCTATCTGCAACTGACTATACCATATTCCTATCTGACAGCTGAAGTGATGAGAAAATACACACAGTAATTGCAGGGATACCAAATCCCTGGGATTGTGCAAAGCGAGCAAATGATGCAGTTATGCATATCGTATCTGTGATACATTAGAATTATTAGGTCCACATGAAACAAGCAGGAAAAAGATGACTGACATGTTGTGCCTGTCTCCCCCCCCCTCTTTCCTCTATTATCTCAGATAATAACAGCCTTGTCAGCAACAGAGCAGAAAGTTGCACTCCTCAAAAATGAGCACCCGAGGAGCAAACCTGCAGGGCTCTGCGAACTCTGGTGTCTCAGGGGCACCACATGATAAAACTCAGGTAAGCGTAAAAAAGCAAGGTGAACGAATGAAGCATGGGTCACGAGGGCACTGACCATCTCTGGAAAGGGCCTCTGGTTGGTATAGTAATTAACCTTGCTGAGTGGCTGGCCTGGAAACTGCTGGCTCCACATGCCCCCGTCCACCCCCATCCCTCAAACCTTTGGAGGACCCAGAGATGATGGAGTGTCAAACCCTTCTTGGTCACACTTATTAGAGCCAGTGAGCATCGCTGTGACCCGGCTGCTCTCTCCCACTATCTGGGCTCTAGGGTAGGATAAGTGTGTGTGAGGGTGGGG